CGCCTCTTTTGAGGCCTCAAAAAGTATTCCTTAAATATCCACGCCTCTTTTGAGGCCTCAAAAAAGTATTCCTTAAAAATCCACGCCTCTTTTGAGGCCCCAAAAAAGTATTCCTTAAAATCTGCGCCTGTTTACTTACTTACTTAGCTGGCTCTTGATAGAACTTTCGTTCCATGAGTCGAGCGTAAAAAAGATTTCCAGGCGCGTCGGTCTTTTGCGCTGTTTTTCCAATTTAAAAGACCATATTCGGCAATGTTGTCTTCCACTTGGTATTTCCATCTTATTCGTGGCCTTCCCCTTCTGCGTGAACCATCAGCTGGTTCGCGTTTATATGCCTTCTGGGCTAGGGCATCTTCATCCATTCTCACAACATGACCTAGCCAACGTAGTCACTGCAGCTCAATACGTCTAACAATGTCGATGTCCGAGAATAGCTGGTACAACTCATGGTTCATTCGACGGTGATATTCACCGTCAACGCAGATCGGCCCATAGATCTTTCGGAGAATTTTTCTCTCAAACACTACAAGAACTGCCTCATCTGCTTGCGCACGTACCCATGCTTCAGATCCATATAACAGCACGGGTAGTATCAGCGTAGAGTGTGAGTTTGGTGTGGCGGGAGGTGGACTTGCTTTTGAATTGTTTGCTCAGACCATAGTAGCATCTGTTGGCCATTACTATCCTTCTCCGAATTTCAAAACTGATGTCATTCGTTTTTTTTTATGGCGGTACCAAGGTATATAAAATCTTTGACTAACTCGAAGCTGTAGTTCTCAAGTTCCACAGTTGGTCCGAGTCTACTGGACGTCTTGCGCGTTGATACCATCAGCTTGGTCTTCTCGCCGTTTACTGCCAGACCCACTTTGGCAGACTCCTTATCAATTTGTTCAAAGGTGACTGTTATCGCTCGTAATGTTCGAAACATTATATCGATGTCATCGGCGTAGGCGAGTAACATGTGTTGTTTGGTGTACAGAGTGCCATTTCTGTTCACATTGGCCTCTCGTATGACCTTTTCCAGCAGGATGTTAAAAAGGTCACACGACAAACTGTCACCTTGTCTGAATCTTCGTTCGGTATTAAAAAGCTTCGAGAGATCCTTTCCGACTTTAACTGCTGTTAAAGTCGGAAAGTTATCCTGCATAGCCGTATTCATTTTGCAGGAATGCCAAACGCAGACATGGCTTTATACACCTCTGAACGGATAGGGAATGCGGTTTTATAGTCGACGAATAGGTGGAATATGTCGATGTGTTTTTCGTGGTTTTTTTCAGGATTTGGCGCAGAGTGAAAATCTGGTCGATGGTGGATTTGCCTGGTCTGAAGGCGCATTGGTATGGTCCAATAATGACATTGACCATTGTCTTCAATCGTTCACACAGCATGCGGTATAGCAATTTACATGCGATGGGAAGGAGACTAATTCCTCTATAGTTGACGCATATCGCTTGTCTCCTTTTTTTGTGCACGGGACACAGGATGCTGAAGTTCCAATCATTGGGCATGAATTCTTGCAGCCAAATTGTACTAATAAGCTGGTGTATGCTCCTTATCAGCATCTGACAACCAGTCTTGAAAAGTTCGACTTGTAATCCATCGGTACCTAATGCTTTACTATTCTTCAGCCGACTTAAAAAATCCACGCCTCTCTATTAAGGCCTCAAAAAATAATTCTTTCAAAATCCAAGCCTCTCTATTAAGGCCTCAAAAATAATTCTTTAAAAATCCACGCCTCTCTATTAAGGCCTCAAAAATAATTCTTTAAAAATCCACGCCTCTTTTGAGGCCTCAAATAACAAACAAATATTGCGTTAGATGGCGTTGTAGCCAGTTTTAAATTCGACTACTCCCTTCAATTTGAATCTTCAGATTTTTTCCTGTTTTTAACCATTTGTACAAACTGCGCTTCAATTGTTTGGCGTATTTATCTAAAAATTAGAATTAAACCGCAAATCCATTTGGGAAGTTTATTCACCGTCACCAAATTTTTGTTGTCGCCAAATTAATATTTAATTATAAAAAATAATACAATTATTTATAAACAAAAGCATTCACGATTAAAATACATCTGCAAATGTTTGGAGACTGACAAATATACAAAACAGGGCAATGACTAATCAAAACAATTACCGTTGATATGAATGATATGCAAATGATTTGTCAAACAGATTTTAAAACAAGGTATCTTATAAGGTCTCAAAATAGTATTCTTTAAAAATCCACGCCTCTAACAAGGCCTCAGATATCCCCTGATGCTCTGATACTCCTTGCAAAAATTATGTTAAATAAGGTTATTCAAGGTTATTTGAAAACGTTCCTATATATTGACTTATTTTTGGAAGAAAATTGTCTACTTAGCAAAAAGAAAAACAATTTCCAAAACTCTGGTATAAATACAACAAATATTTATCAACTCATCAAAATATTATTATTATTATTTCCAATCAAATTAATACAAAAGCCAGTTATTTATTCATATCTATCCACATACATCCATCAATGGCATTGTTCGAAATTAAACCATTTAATTCATTGCTAATTTCAATATAATATAAAAAAACAATAACAATATTTTTTCTTCTACTTCGAATAATTTCCATAACAAAGAATTCCAGAGAATATTTCCAATGAATAATAAAAAAATAATAATAACTATGTCACTAGACATCAAGTAGCCAGCCGATGAAGATGATGACGACAACGATGATGATTTGAATATTTTTGTTAAGTATTTGGAAACAAATATTTGCATAAATACTCGAATCAAGAGACCATTCTATTTAATCAACATAAATATTAGTCGTTGAATATAATTTAACATCATTTTTTTATCGATGTCGATATTATCTTTGGGAGGAAACAAATAATTGTGCTGCAAAATACATATCGGATTTTTAAAGAATTGTTTTTGAGGCATATTTAGAGGCGTGGATATCTAAACCATTATTTTTGAGGCATATTTAGAGGCGTGGATATTTAAACAATTATTTTTGAAGCATATTTAGAGGCTTGGATATTTAAACCAATATTTTTGAGGCATATTTAGAGGCGTGGATATTTAAACCAATATTTTTGAGGCATATTTAGAGGCGTGAATATTTAAACCATTATTTTTGAGGCATATTTAGAGGCGTGGATATTTAAACCATTATTTTTGAGGCATATTTAGAGGCGTGGATATTTAAACCATTATTTTTGAGGCATATTTAAAGGCGTGGATATTTAAACCAATATTTTTGAGGCATATTTAGAGGCGTGATTATTTAAACCATTATTTTTGAGGCATATTTAGAGGCGTGGATATTTAAACCAATATTTTTGAGGCATATTTAGAGGCGTGGATATTTAAACCAATATTTTTGAGGTATATTTAGAGGCGTGGATATTTAAACCATTATTTTTGAGGCATATTTAGAGGCGTGGATATTTAAACCAATATTTTTGAGGTATATTTAGAGGCGTGTATATTTAAACCAATATTTTTGAGGCATACTTAAAGGCGTGGATATTTTAACCATAATTTTTGAGGCATATTTAGAGGCTTGGATATTTAAACCAATATTTTTGAGGCATATTTAGAGGCGTGGATATTTAAACCATTATTTTTGAGGCATATTTAGAGGCGTGGATATTTAAACCAATATTTTTGAGGTATATTTAGAGGCGTGGATATTTAAACAATTATTTTTGAAGCATATTTAGAGGCGTGGATATTTAAAACATTATTTTTGAGACCTTAACGGAAGCGTGGATATTTAAACCATTGTTTTTGAGGCATATTTAGAGGCGTGGATATTTAAACCATTATTTTTGAGGCATATTTAGAGGCTTGGATATTTAAACCAATATTTTTGAGGCATATTTAGAGACGTGGATATTTAAACCATTATTTTTGAGGCATATTTAGAGGCGTGGATATTTAAACCAATATTTTTGAGGCATATTTAAAGGCGTGGATATTTAAACCATTATTTTTGAAGCATATTTAAACCATTATTTTTGAGACCTTAATGGAAGCGTGGATATTTAAACCATTGTTTTTGAGGCATATTTAGAGGCGTGGATATTTAAACCATTATTTTTGAAACGTTAATGGAGGCGTGGATATTTTTTAAGAACAATTGCTGCAATTTTTATTTATAAATATGTAAACCTTATCTTAAACTTAAATAAATTAAAATTTATTTCTTATATTATTATTCGTCTTATCTTAAAAATAACTTATCTAACTTAATGCCAAAAACACAATCCAAATTGGTAACAACACAATATCAGTTTTCTGACGATCCCGTCAATAAATCTCACACTTCTGCACGGGGTTCATACCACTACCCTTGGGACATTGGAATTCCTGAGCAAATCCATCAAAATTCGATAGGGGGCCAATGACGCGGAATTTATCCGGTACATGATTATCGACCGAAGCCAGATACTTCCTAAATGCCGGCGTGATATCATTACACCACAGTTGGGCATAACTGATAAAGAAAAGCTTACGATCGGTGAAACTCACGGGAGGCATTGATTCTCGCACAGCTCGAGGATTTTTGGCCAAAGCCTGTTGCAGCCATTTAACATAGGCGGCATAGGCCAAACGTACCCCACCGTTGTCGGCAATATTTTCACCCTGTGCCGGCATATCGGGCAAATGATGACCATGGAAAATATATTTCTGATATTGAGAGTTGAAGCACTGAGAACGGGCATTGAAATCACGACTTGATTCTGGATCCCACCATTCCAGACTATTACCCTGGGCATCATGATGCCGTCCATGGACATCAAGACCATGCATTAGCTCATGGGAGAGTAAAGCTCCAAGGATGCCAAAATTGAAGGCATTCGCAAATGAGGCATCCCAGGCATAATTGGGTTGCAAGATAGACACAGGAACTTTTACCGCATTTTCGATGAGAACATTCACGGGAGTGGTGGCAATTCTCTCACTCAGATCCAATGGTTGAGGTGGTGCGAAAATAGCACTACGTTTTTGTTTACTACCCAGCGAAAAGAGGGATTTGAGATTTTCAACCAAATCATGCGAATTCACCTGGAAGGGTTTAAATACCGTTTCGAAGTCGTAATTTTTATATGACACGATTTCCATTTTCATTGCTTTAATTTTTTCCACAGCATAGCTACGTGTTTCGGGACGAATCCAGGAATATTGATGTGGCGATTTGAGAGCTTCAATAAAGGTGTCCTTAATGTCCTGCCACATTACATTTACCCCCTGTTCCGTTTCATCCATATTATATTTACGATAGAGCATGTTATCGAAATTCTTGGAGAAGTACGTCTTCATTTGTCTCAGACACATATCCTGCAGTTGATGTTGTGTCTCAGGAATGATGAGCATAAATTTATCAATCAGATGATAGAATATATAATTGGCCACCACACGCTTTGGAGTTTGTTGTAAGGTGCGTATTAGATTTTTCACATACGCCGGACTCCAATAGACCTTAAAGTCGGGTAAGACACCCAACGACTCCAAGACCAATTTTTCAACATTTAAATGGGGATAGACGTTGTGTTGTATTTCTTCAATGGTGTTGAGGGTATAAAGATCGGCCAGTTTATTGACTTTCTTGGAGTCTGCCATACCCGCCGCCAAATTGGTTTCAAATTGTGCCATCTCAGTGGCCACTTGCAGACCCACGGTCTTGTCTAGGCCCAGAAAAATGTATAACTTGTTGGCAATGCTGTTGATGTAGTTCTTAACAAACCCGGCATTGGCAGGGTTCAAGTAGATATCCCTCGATTCCAGGGCCAATTGTTGTTCACTTAAATAGATACGATTTTTGGAGTTATCTGCAAAGTCCACGCTTATCTCAGCCCCGGTAACGGTAACAATTCCATATTTGTAGGCTATAGCCGCCACAGTAGTTTGCCAATCGAATGTACGTTCATCCCACAACGGTCCCGCCATGGCAGGCATTTGACCAAATTCCGCCATAATTTCCAATAATTTCGCCGTATAGACATGTTTCAAATTCGGCAAATTCATGCATGATCGATAGAAATTTTTTATCTTCTTATCCACGTTGGTATCACGCGGCTCATCGGTGTTCATAAGTAGCAGTATCTTGTGATCTCTCTCCTCACGTAGACTGTGAAATAGACCAGTAGCAGATTTCTTTTTTGCCGCTGCCGAATTATAGGTATTCCAATTGCCACAGGCAAATTCATAGAAATCATCACAGGGGTTCACATTCAGATTCATATATCGAAACATTTCCTGACCTTTGTTGAGACGATTTTGTTCAGCCAATGGATTGGGCACGCTGAGGATGCCACGGACCACATTTACCAGGATGTAAAAAAATAAACCCCAACACAAAAGATTAAAGCTAAACATGTTGGAGGTAGGTAACACCTTCTTGAAACTTTCCCAAACGAATGTGGTTTTCCACCCGAATTCAGGTGATGTTATATAAGGGACTGGCTTCCCGTATTGAATATTGTCCGAACAATTAATTTCGATTTTTCTTTAGCAATGAATAAAATCAAAGATTAATTTCATAAGACAGAAAAAAAGCAACGAGAAACTGGAAAAATGTTTTTGAATTTTTTATTATCGGCATAAACAAAGGACTTTGACCGCGTTTTTTAACGGCAATTTAAATTGGAGCTTCTTGTGAGAAAATGCATATCCACCTCGAATGATTCACACAAGCCAACTCTCTCTCTGAATTGATCTCTTCTCATTAAACTCTTTTGTATTTTATTTTTCTTCAAGAAAAAAATAGCAGTCTCAAAGATCCATAAATTTTTAAACGTTCATGGTCATGACTCAAATTTGTCAAATGTGTCGTTGTTGCCGTTTTCCTGAAAACAAAACTTGTTCTCACGAAAAGGCACACTCCGCACATTCAATGAACTGTTCGCAAAAAAGTTCATTGGATCTTCAAAATTATAACAACAACATTTTTTTTGTTACTGAACTCTTTCTTATTGTTATGACACTGTTTTTTATTTGTCACAGTTCATTGAATTCACTGTTTGAATAATAATTATTTTTTTGTGTACATAAAATTATTGCGAAATATCGATCAGTGATGAAAAGAAGTTAAAATTATTTTCATCGATCAATTAAACTTTTTTTGTTGAGGGAGTGTGTGAGTGAGAAAGAGAGAGAGGGGGAATCAAAGAAGAGCAATAGCCTTAAATGTAAACAGATGTAAAATTTTAATTAAAGGAGAATGACTTATGGTCGTTGGATCCGCAGGAATGTTAAGAATTTGCAAATCCTCTTTGCAGGATTATTGAATTCAATTCAGGAAGTTGATAACAAAAATACAAAATAAAAACGTAATTAAGTTCGCAGCACGTGCTGTGCATTCAAAATACCTTACATTTATATGGGGACTATGTTATTGCATGATGTGGTAGTAGGTTGTTCATGTTCTGAACTCACTTAGAAAACTGGGCTAGAAACTTCAAAATATCAAAATTTAAACGAGAGATTTGTATGGAAACTATTTTAAAAATTAATTGAAAAATTCCTGAAATAAAGGCTTTTTATTCACCAGGAATCCGATAAGCCAGATTATTGCCTCTTCGATGAGAAAATTAGGCCAAAAATATAATATCCAATATCCCGGATGCCAATTTACAATTACCACAATGGGAAAATGCAATTAAAATCTTCAAAATACTGATAATGGCGCTTTGCAAAAACATGAATCCACTTAATTGCAAACCGATTAATTGAAAATTAAAATAATATTCGTTCAGTTTTGCCAACGTTAGTCCTACGTGGTGACAGATTTTCGGAACATTGGCTGATATGCTCAATAAGAATCCCGTGTATTAAGATAAAACCAATTTTGTCGAAAAGCGTGCCACAGAATTTAAACTGAACGGTACCTAGAGATGGGCCGTGGATAAATACCCAACCGCTAAATACCCGGTAAATTGGGTAAATGCCAATTGTGGGTATTTACCATATTGAATCGGTAATACAACATCTTACATCCTATTTTCTGGTTTCTGTTATCAACTCGATTTAGAATGGATAGTTTTACGATACTTTAAAGACGTGGGTAAATACCCGAGTATTTACCCAAAAATTGGGTATAAACTCATTAACTACCGAACCACTTGACAAGGCGCTTACGTGCTTTTAATGTCAAAGCAAATATTGAAATGCAAAATGGGGTCCCTGGGTCCAAGTTTTGATATAGCTCCCATATAACCGTATTCTCGATTTAAAGTATTTTTTGTCTAGTAGAAAAATTTTACGACCAAATTGGCTGTAATCAGGCACAGAGTGTTTTATTTGGGTACCAAATGTCCATGCAAAAATGTATATATGTAGGTCCACGGTTACTAGTAGCCACCATACAAAGGTGCCCCTATTTTGAGTATTTACCCAAAAATTGGGTATAAACTCATTAACTGCGGAAACACTTGACATAGGCGGCCAAAATTTTGCACACATGTTTTTAATGTCAAAGCAAATTTATAAATCCAAAATGGGGTTTTGGGTCCAAGACTTGATATAGCCCCCGTATAACCGTATCTCCCGATTTAATTTATTTTTTGTCTATTAGACACATTTTACAACCAAATTGGCTGTAATTTGGCACAGAGTGTTCTTTTTGGGTACCAAATGTTCATGCACAAATTTATGTAAGCAGATCCACGTTTACTGGACCTGAGTCTAGAATTTATTAGAAATTTCGTTGAAATCGGTTCGTATTTAGATATAGCTCCCATAATATGTTCGTCCGAATCTTCCAAGGTTTGTCCGATTGAGACGGACATGACCGTGATGTGTTAGATCGCACCTAACACATCAAACTCGACGTCGAAAAGCTGCAAACACAACAGATGGCAGAATCCTACTCTGCTCAACTTACCCACCTGCTTGACGAAAGCACTTCTTGTCCCGATAATAGTATAGAAGCACAATGGCAAAGAATTGCCCACTCCCTACAAACTGCAGCAAAAGCAACACTTGGATATCAAAAACCACCATCAAGAAACCCATGGTACGATCCGGAGTGTCGTAATGCTAATGATCTGAAAAACGCAGTGTGTAGGGCAACCCTGCAGACAGGAGTAACACATAACGCGATGGAGAACTGTCGGGGGAAAGGAGAGAGGATAAACTTATTTTCTAAAAAAAGAAGAAACAACAAGGAACACGTGAGCAAATCGAGATGTACAGAATGAATCCAAGAAATTTTACCAACGACTAACGCACCAAACCGGAGGCTTTGGTGCAGGCACATCATACTGTAGCGATGAAGAAGGAAACCTGGTGACAGACACATATAGCGTGTTGAGGAACTGGAAGGAGCATTTTGAAAAGCTTCTGGTATCAAATAGTGACGGTGAAGAAGATACCCCAGAACCAATAAGTGATGACGCTGATCAGGAGCATGCACCAGCTGATTAGTATAATTTGGCTATAGGAATGTATAGCCAATGATTGCAACTTCAGCATCGTGTCTCCCATGCACAAAGAAAGAGACAAGACGATTGTGCCAATTATCGAGGAATTAGTCTCCTTCCCATTGCATATAAAGTGCTATCCAGCGTACTGTGCGAACGACTGAAGCCAATGGTCAATGACATTATTGGACCATACCAAGGCGGCTTCAGACCTGGAAAATCCACCATATACGTTCGGCATTCCTGCAAAATGTATACGGCTATGCAGGATAATTTTAACTGGGACAAGGTCAGCAGATAAAGTCGGAAAGGACCTATCAGAGTCATTTAATACAGAACGAGGGTTCAGCTTCCGGCTGGAAAGGGTCGTAGTTTCGAACTTTAATGAATTATACATTGAAATGGAAAAGATTGGGACTGAATGGGTTAAGAAAATGACGTTGATAAATCCTTTTATCTGATATTAAATTCCGATTTCAACGATAACAAAACCATTTAACCGTTATATCTGTAAATTGAAGAGGGGAATGTATTTCAAATGAATTATTTCAAATATGAATGCAGGCTCTTTGAGGTCAATAATTCATTATATTTCAGGACCAAACTCCTTGGTTTTGAAAAATATGTCATTTATTTTTGTTTTGAATCAGAAAACTATTATAAACATAAATAAAGGTTTGGTTCAGATTCAGAATTTGCATACAAAATGTATTTTTACTTTGTTACAAAAAAAAAAAAAAAAAAAACGGATTGAAATGCAAATTAGAGAGTTTTGACGAAATGTACATTAATAACCCAAAACAATTGCGGGTTTTCGGTGATGATGCAGTTTTTTGGCAAATGAAAAGGAAAAGTTGTTAAATTAAATTTGAAAATTTAATTTCAAATCAGTTGAGAAAATATCATTGAAAAATACGGTCAGGATTTTCTCGGAGGGACAACAAAAATGGGTGAATTAAAATGGGGAGTTGTAATGTTGGCGATAATGATTTATCCCATGGCAGTGCTACCGGCCAGTTTATATGTAATTTCGGGTATTGGCAGCCGTTTACAAAAGGGCGCCCAAATGTTAAAATATATGAATATGTCAGTGGATCCATGTGAGGATTTCTACGAATTTACCTGTGGCAATTGGAATCGTTATCATTCGGCAGCAAAGGGTGATGCCACTTCGACGGGATTACTGGAGAATTTACAAAAATCCTTAAGTGAAAAATTAATGGAGATTTTGGTAACCCCAGAACAAGTAGATACCATGGTGGATCGTAAGGTCAAAGATTTCTATAGATCATGTTTAAATTTGGCGGCATTGAAAAATAATTATGCTTTGAAATTACGGGAATTAATTGCGGAATTTGGTGAAATGCCAGCACTGGCGGGCCCAGCATGGCAGGAACAGCAATTTGATTGGTTGGAAACGGTGGCTAAAATTTCCTATAAATATGGTATCGGTATTCTCACCCCAGCCGAGGTAAGCATTGATTTGGTGGATACCCGGGTAAATCGTTTATATATGCGAACTGCAGATTTATCCCTGGGCAATCAACATGTCTATTTGGATAAGAGCAGTTCCCAGCTGCTGCAAGGTATTACAATTGTGGTCTATTCCCGTCTCATCGATTTCCTCGGCATGGAAGTGGAATTGGCCAAGCGTACTGCAAAGGAAATAATTGATTTTGAAATATCCTTGGCTCGGGGTATTGAGGATGTCAACACTGCCACGGATTATAGAGATGTTATTGCCTTGGATACCATCGATTCCTTGCAGCAGAAATATGCAGGATATCTAGATTTGAAGAAATTGCTGTATCTCTCCTTTGGCAGTCTACCCAATCTGAAAGTGTATTCCAATCCGAAATATTTAAAACATCTCATTGAATTAATGCATGTGACACCTCGACGTGTTGTGGCGAATTATATTTTCTATAATCTCATTAGGAAATTCCTGGTAGAAGTACCCAAGACCCAGCAGAAATTACAAGAAAATTGTTTGAAAGGTATGAAACCCCGATTCTTTAAAATATTCGATAATATGATTTATCGACGTTTTATGTCCCGCGAAATTGAGCAAGGTATCCATAGTATGTGGGAGGAAATAAAACACACCTTCAAACAAAATTTGGCATCGCAGAAATATCATTGGATCGATGGCCAAATACGCCGCTATGCCATTGAAAAAGTCAATGCCATGAAAATGGATATTGTCTCTTACAAGGATTATGATTTTCAATCCTCCTTTGGTGCCCTAACTGTCAATAATCACGATTATATTGAAAATCTGAAATCTCTTTATGCAGTGGCATCCAAAAATCACCGAGATTCTATAACAAAGCCACCCAAACCCACCGAACTTGGAGAAGAGTTATCCACCTCACCCGCAAATATTCTCAATGAAAATATGGTCAAGGTTCCGGTATCCATGCTACAACCCTACCAAGTGTGGTCCACACAATTCCCCAATGCCTTCAATTATGCTGTCCTGGGTGCTTTACTCTCCCATGAACTTATCCATGGCTTTGATGATGCCGGTCGGGGTTATGATTTACATGGCAAACCTCTACAATGGTGGGATCTACTCTCTTCCATTTATTTCCAAGAACGTTCCGAGTGTTTCAATGAACAATATCACGGTTATGTTTTTCACAATCGCCATCTACCCTATATGTCTCAAGATGAAAATATTGCCGATAATGGTGGAGTACGTCTTGCGTATAATGCCTATTTGAATTGGTATCGTGATGCGCTGCAAAAATATCCCCATCAAATATCAGAAACAATGCCTGGCCTTAATTTTAGTGATAAAAAGCTATTTTTCATTAGTTATGGTCAGCTGTGGTGTGGGGATATCAATCCTCTTATTCGCCAATATCAAGAGTCGACAGATGCCCATGTACCGGATAAATTTCGAGTTATTGGTCCTCTATCAAATTTTGAGGAATTTTCGAAGGAATTCCAATGTCCACCCGGCAGTGGTATGAACCCCATTAAGAAGTGTGAAATTTATTAGTTTAAGTATTTATTTTTGTAAGTTCATTGGATGCCATTGTTATTGTTGTATTAGTTCTTAATTTAATTATAAGTACTATTTTATATATTTAATAAATTAAAAAAAACGTTTATTCAAAATGCGAAAATTATTTTTTTATTAGAAATAATTTTAGGAAGGAGGGCTTGAGAAAATATTTTTTCTACAACAAATACAATTATTCTTTAAAAATGCACGCCGCTACTAAGATCTCAAAAAACTATTCTTTAAAAATTCACGCCCATATTAAGGTCCCAAAAAAATCTCTAAAAATACACGCCTATATAAGGACCTCCTCAAATATTCTTTAAAAATCCATGCACATATTAAGGCCTTTTTAAAAGTATATGCCTCTATTAAGACCTGAAATAATTGTTTTTTAAAAGTCTATCTCGACAAAAAACATTATTTAAAAATCCACTCCTATGTAGCCCTCGAAAAAAAATTCTTTAAAAATCCACGCCAGCTTAGCCCTCGAAAAAAATTCTTTAAAAATCCACGCCAGCCCTCGAAAAAAATTCTTTAAAAATCCACGCCAGCCCTCGAAAAAAATTCTTTAAAAATCCACGCCTCTATGAACGCCCCATAAAATATTTTTGTGTTTAATCCACGCTCTATCCCTCAACAAACTATTCTTTAAAATATGTGATATTTATCTAAATGTGAATTTACCTAATTCTATGCTCAATATTGTACGTTGTGCAAAATTTGGTGTCAATCTGACTAACATGAGGAGTTTGATGCCCAATTTATTTAAAATCGGTTGAAAATATATATGGAAGCTATCCAAATATGTAGAAATTTCAACGAAACTTGTCACAGGTTAGGTTATACTAATTTCAGTACGTTTTGTACCTATCAGCCTATTGGTTCCTTGGTGCGTCAATTACTTAAACTCAATCTTTAATAAAAGGGAGCTATATCTAAATCTCAATCGATTATCACGAAACTTGGCACACATCATTCTGGACTAAATTCAGTACGCTATGCGAATCGAAAGATATATGTGGACTTTTGTGCACCATTTACATTAAATCAGACGAAAATATATATGGGAGCTATATAAATCTTGACCGATTTTCACGAAACTTGACCGACATCATTCTAGGCTCAATTCAGTACGCTATGACAAATTTCGTGCAAATCGAAGGATATATAGGGACTTTGGTGCACCATTTACATGAAATCGTACGAAACTATATATGGGTGTTATATCTAAATCTGAACCGATTTTCACGAAACTTGGCAGACATCATTCTAGGCTCAATTTAATACCTTATGCCAAATTTCGAAAGATATATAGGGTCTCTGGTGCACAATTTACCTTAATTCGGACGAAAATATATATGGATGCTATATCTAAATCTGAAGCGATTTTTTCCAATTTAAATAGGTTTCGTCCTTGGGCCAAACAAATGACCTGTGCCAAATTGTTCACGTAGCGAACATGGTTTTTAAATAATAAAGATAGTGAATGTCTTGCTGTGGGTCTTTTGTGTAGAAGAGAGAATATTTAGTTAAACAGGGATCTATTTTTGTCTACAGTCCACTTGAGATAAGAGCATTTTCTTGTTGAATATTTGTACACTAGAATAAGATAGGAGTTTTCTATTGCCACATGTGGTATGTTTGGGTGAGATTACGGGGAGTAATCTTCACTACAGACTGATAAGCATGTGTAGGGTGCTTGCCACATATGAGATAAAGAATTGTGTGTGTCCACTCCATGTGTTATGGCAGATGCACTCTCTCTCTCTCTCTTTTACACATTAGTCTTAGATAGGTTATGTCATATTGTAATAGTTAGTTCTTAATAAACACTTTTTATTCAAATAAATGAGTGTGTAAATGCACAGCAAAGAAGAAACATACGTGCTATCACTCCGCGGACAATATCCGCGTAAGATCACTCGTTTTTTATTGGTCCTTCGAGCCGGATCAGTGACCGATTGTGGAGGAAATTGATGCTGAAGAATTTGCCTTAAATGTCAAGGAAATTCTCTCAGCTTGGAGGAAATCCAAATAGACAAAAAATAATAGAAAAACAAAATGCTGAGTCAAAAGGAGACTGCGGCAAGGAACAAGGCGGTGAATGCGAGACATCATTTCCGTAGCAGAGAAGAAGAAGGAGAAGGAGATGCAGTGGAAGTACGAGGCAGTACATTGCAAACCTTCAGAATGCCGAGTCAAAAGGAGACTGCGGTGAGGAAAATGGCGGTGACGGCGAAATATTTAGCCAGTGAAGCTTCAAGTCTGAGCATAGCGGCTGCAGATGAAAATAAGCTAGGCAGAGCTTCGGCACCGACCCTGGAGTGGGAGATAACAATCTTCTAAATAATATTAACATTTTCGCAGAGAATATCGATCGACTATCTGCGACTGTGGTACCGAACCTATATGACTTTATAGAAAGTGAGGGACGCAGCCGATGAAGTAAAAGGCGATCCGGTGGTGCGGGATCGGTGGATGGAGATATTGGAGAAGAAATCCAATATGGCAGGAGGTTTTAGGCCAGTCCAAGAATAAATGGGCAGCCTTCAAAGAGCATTGGAGGAGAAAAGCCGTGACGTGGCGGAGTTACGGGCAAGGAATAAAGAGCTAGAAGTTGCTCTAAAAAATCGGAAGACGCCAATGGTTGCCTTCTAGAAAGGGCACAGGCAAGTTATAAAAAGGCAAGAGATAGATACATTGACTTGTACTTTCAAGATCTCAAGCTTAAAGGTGAATTGGTGGCGGCTGCAGAGAAAGCCCAGGCAGCAGAAAAATCCTGGGAAGAAGAGAAAAGGAATCTGTTGAAAAAACTGGATCTTTCGGAGAAGAACCGTCGAGCAGCAGAGGCCGAACGAGATTAGTTGGCCATAAGAATGATTGCCAATGACAATTAGGAGCGGAATAAATTAGCTCCAGTCGAGTTGGCCATGAAAAAGAACCATGCGGTGGCTGGTGCGGAGAAACCAGTTATGGAAGAAAATCATTATTTAAAGATCCACGCCTCTTTAATGCATACAAACTACTCTTTAAATATCCAAGCCTCTAATAATACTTAAAAATTGTTTTCTATAAAAATGCATGCCTGTAATAATACCTCATTTTTTCATCAAAAATCAACGCATCTATATAGACCTCAAAAACAAATTCCTTAAAATACCCAAATCTTTATTGAGGCCTCAAAAAATAATTCCTTAAAAATCCACGCTAAATAGAGGCGTGATGGCCTCAAAAATAATTCTGTAACAAATCCAAGCCTCTAATACAAGTTGAAAAGGTCCCAAACAATTTTCTTCCTCAGATAATTTTTCAAAAAAACCATAACATACCCCCTTAATAGTGCTTTAAGCCAACCTTAATCATAACTGGTTTCCTGAAGGGGGTTATTGATTCCCAAACCCATAATAAAGTCATTTTACATAATTCAAATGAACGAATTAATAACACAAAATCACCGAATGAACAATCAAAAATCCATTAATCGGAAATGAACAGATTAATGAGATATCATTTAAGCTTATTAACACTACTCGCTGTGAGACAATGTTTATTGGAATGGATCGTAACTAAATAAAATAAAAATAGGTCAAAATCAAATATTACGGAAATATTTAATTTTTATTTCAATATCCATTTTTAATTGAATATTTTTTGTTTGTGAATTTATTTTTATACACCACAGGCTAGCTTGATATTGAAACGACGACCCACCTTACTGGCATTAATTAATTAATGCAGCATTAACATTAATTTCAAACTACCGCTTCGATATTAAATAATTAACATATTTATTACTTTTTTATCGCCTAATATTTTAAAATTCTGTGTATTTAATTATCATGTTAAAAAGGGAGGTGGGGGAAGAAATAAATAATTAACAATAAAACTTATTGAATAAAAATAGTGAACAAAAACCAGTGGCTGAAGTGATTTTTACGCTATGTTTGAAATGTTAAAGCGAAACGCATAACTATAATTCTGAATGACGTAGTCACCTAATAAACCAGTTTGTTTTAAATAGAGGTCAACACGAAACTAGAGTAAATAAAATGTGAATGTTCATTCATGCCGAATAACAGTACATACTTACATCGATGTTGACAACTTTTACGCACCTGAAATTGAAAAAAAAATATTATTAAAAATTATTTCTTATAGCAAAAATATTATTATAAATCAAAAACAATAATTCTTTAAAAATCCGAATTAAAAAAAAAAATTCCTTCAAAATCCGCGCCTCTATTAGGGCCTCAAAAATAATTATTTCCCCTCTATTAAGTCATCAAAAAATAATTCTTTAAAACTCAGGCCTCAGAATTTTATTTGTGTGACCTTCAGGGTCATTGCCAAATATGAGTGATTTACATAGAGCTGAGATTGGATGAAATCCTGGGATTTCTTTTTACTATATTGATATTCTTTTTTTTTTTTTTTGTATGTGAATCATATTTTAAAGTGGTATCTCATGCTCAGATTGGTAAATCCACCGTACAGATAGGCGTACTTTATTCATGGGACTTTCCCCAATCTTTATGCGATTCTTGTGTTTTTGTTATTATCCACACAAATAGTTGTCTTTAATTATTAATAAGCAATATTGTTTTTTTTATATTTTTTAATGCGTTATTTAAAAAGCGGCGTATATGTACGTGTCTATGTTGTAAAATGTTTGCGTAAAAAATAGGTCCACGAATTTTGATAAGGGAACAAAAAAAACTATAGACATAAAAATTCAATAAACAATTTACACAACAACAAAAATATAATAATAATTATATTTTTAGCATCATTTTTGTTGTTGTTGTTTTGTTCATAATCATATAAACTGTTGTTGTTGCTTTGCAAAACTTTCTAAACAGTCGATTCTGTATAAGTGAAATTTGTATTTAAAAAAAATCGTTTTTGGGTCCTTAATAGAGGCGTGGATTTTGAAAGAATTATTTTTGAGGCCTTAATAGAGAGGCGTGGATTTTTAAAGAATTTTTTGAAGCCTTAATAGAGAGGCGTGGATTTTTTAAAGAATTATTTTTTAAGGCCTTAATAGAGAGGCCTGGATTTTTAGGCAATTATTTTTTGAGGCCTTAATAGAGAGGCCTGGATTTTTAGGCAATTATTTTTTGAGGCCTTAATAGAGAGGCGTGGATTTTTAATGAATTATTTTTTGAGGCCTTAATAGAGAGGCGTGGGTTTTTAAAGAATTATTTTTTGAGGCCTTAATAGAGAGGCGTGGGTTTTTAAAGAATTATTTTTTGAGGCCTTAATAGAGTGGCGTGAATTTTTAAAGTATTATTTTTTGAGGCCTTAATAGAGAGGCGTGGATTTTTAAAGAATTATTTTTTGAGGCCTTAATAGAGAGGCGTGGATTTTTAAAGAATTATTTTTTGAGGCCTTAATAGAGAGGCGTGGATTTTTAAAGAATTATTTTTTGAGGCCTTAATAGAGAGGCGTGGATTTTTAAAAAATTATTTTTTGAGGCTTTCATAAGGCGTGGATTTTTAAAAAATTATTTTTTGAGGACCCACACAAGGCGTGGATTTTTAAAAAATTATTTTTTGAGGCTTTCATTGGATTTTTAAAAAATTATTTTTTGAGGCTTTCATAAGGCGTGGATTTTTAAAAAAATATTTTTTGAGGCTTTCATAAGGCGTGGATTTTTAAAAAAATATTTGTTGAGGCTTTCATAAGGCGTGGATTTTTAAAAAATTATTTTTTGAGGCTTTCATAAGGCGTGGATTTTTAAAAAAATATTTTTTGAGGCTTTCATAAGGCGTGGATTTTTAAAAAATTATTTTTTGAGGCTTTCATAAGGCGTGGATTTTTAAAAAATTATTTTTTGAGGCTTTCATAAGGCGTGGATTTTTAAAAAATTATTTTTTGAGGCTTTCATAAGGCGTGGATTTTTAAAAAATTATTTTTTGAGGCTTTCATAAGGCGTGGATTTTTAAAAAATTATTTTTTGAGGCTTTCATAAGGCGTGGATTTTTAAAAAATTATTTTTTGAGGCTTTCATAAGGCGTGGATTTTTAAAAAATTATTTTTTGAGGCTTTCATAAGGCGTGGATTTTTAAAAAATTATTTTTTGAGGCTTTCATAAGGCGTGGATTTTTAAAAAAATATTTTTTGAGGCGTGGTTTTTTAAAAAAAAAATATTTTTTGAGGCTTTCATAAGGCGTGGTTTGTTAAAAAAATTATTTTTTGAGGCGTGGTTTTTTTAAAAAAAATATTTTTTGAGGCTTTCATAAGGCGTGGTTTGTTAAAAAAATTATTTTTTGAGGCGTGGTTTTTTTAAAAAAAATATTTTTTGAGGCTTTCATAAGGCGTGGTTTGTTAAAAAAATTATTTTTTGAGGCGTGGTTTTTTTAAAAAATATATTTTTTGAGGCTTTCATAAGGCGTGGTTTGTTAAAAAAATTATTTTTTGAGGCTTTCATAAGGCGTGGTTTGTTAAAAAAATATTTTTTGAGGCGTGGTTTTTTAAAAAAAAATATTTTTTGAGGCGTGGTTTTTAAAAAAAAATATTTTTTGAGGCTTTCATAAGGCGTGGATTTTTAAATAATTATTTTTTGAGGCGTGGATTTTTAAATAATTATTTTTTGAGGCGTGGATTTTTAAATAATTATTTTTTGAGGCGTGGATTTTTAAATAATTATTTTTTGAGGCGTGGATTTTTAAATAATTATTTTTTGAGGCGTGGATTTTTAAATAATTATTTTTTGAGGCGTGGATTTTTAAATAATTATTTTTTGAGGCGTGGATTTTTAAATAATTATTTTTTGAGGCGTGGATTTTTAAATAATTATTTTTTGAGGCGTGGATTTTTAAATAATTATTTTTTGAGACGTGGATTTTTAAATAATTATTTTTTGAGGCGTGGATTTTTAAATAATTATTTTTTGAGGCGTGGATTTTTAAATAATTATTTTTTGAGGCGTGGATTTTTAAATAATTATTTTTTGAGGCGTGGATTTTTAAAAAATTATTTTTTGAGGCTTCGGCTTCCTCGTTTAACCACAATCATCATTATGGCGAAATACCGGCCACATGCCACGTACCTAAATCCGGAATTGCCTGTACACTTAAAAGCTGATAATAATGAATGGAAACAAGTTGATATTGGGATTATTTAATTTCCAATTCGAATAAATAGATTCAGTATTAATTTTTCAACAAAGTAGCAAAGACCTTTTTTTAAACAAAACACGGGAGCGGGAGAGGAAATTTAAAATAAATTAAAAAAAGCGAAAATAAAATTGAAAAGAATAATTGAAATATAAAACAATACACGTGGAAAATATGTTGGAAATTTTATGGAAATATTTATTCGTCTACATATTATCGTGTTATGCCATACAAGGATCACCGATTACTTCAACATTCAATGAAAACGAAAAATTCGATCTAAAAACCAATTTACGTTTAAATAAAATTAATGAAATCAAAAGTTACTTAAATGATTCCGTGGATCCTTGTGACAATTTCTATGAATTTGCGTGTGGAAATTATGCAGTGGCAACGGAAAATAATTCCATCGATGGTACAATGCTTAATGTTAATTTGCTAATGGGCAAATATGATGAGTTATTGAGAAAACTGCTGGAGCAGGAAGCAGAGGGAGAGAACGACAATTTGGTGGATAAACAACTGAAACAATTCTATAAATCCTGTGTTAATATGATGACGAAAAAGGATATGTGTATTAAGCAGCGTAGGGATTTCATAAATAGTGTGGCTAAAATGCCTGCCATGTTGCGCGCCATTTGGCAGGAAAATGAATTCGATTGGTCCAAAACAATTGCGGAGATTGCCCATACAACTGGCGAATCGATAATATTACGCATTGGTGTCATCACTGATTTCCTGGATAATTCCAAGGCCCAAGTGGCCATAATGGAACCCGATTTTGCCATGCCGGCAATTAATCTATTTAAAGAGGAAAGCTATGCGGAACATAAAATTTATTATATGATTAAAATTTCTGCTTTTCTGCAAAATATTCTCGGCGTGGAGGAGAACTTGGCCAATGAAGTGGCTCAAGAAATTGTGGAGTTTGAAATTGAGTTGAGTCAGGGGAAAATCAACAAACATTTGGGCCTGCAGAACAGTGAAATTTATCAGGAACTTATGAGCTTGGAGGAGCTCATGGAGAGATATAAGGCGGATTTAAATATATCTTCCTTGTTAGAAAAGGCTTTGGATTTCCTCCCATCCCAGCTCTATGTAAATCATCAATATTTGGAAAAGGCTCTGAAGGCTATACAAAATACTCCCCAACATGTTGTGGCCAATTATATTTTCTATAAATATTTTAGTACCCTGGAACTGCCGTATTCCATAGATGCCGAAGATATGAAACTGAGTTGTGTTTCCATAACTCAGGAGCGTTTCTATAAACAAATGGATAATATGTTCTATCGCCATTACATTCGAGAGGATATGAAGCCTGCCGTGGAATTTATGTGGCATGAATTAAAATCCGCCTTCGAACAACAATTGCGATCTGACAAACTCAATTGGATGGCGGAGAGTACACGTGAATATGCCCTGCAAAAACTCGAAGCAATGCGTTTTTCCATACTCTCCTTTGAGGCGAATAATTTTACCGAAGAATTTTCCCAGCTGCAGCTAAGTGATGACAACTATTTGCAGAACATTTTGGCTTTGCAGAGATTGAAGGGTAATCTAACCCGTTCGGCGGTACATAGCCCACCTCAACCCGATGATGATGGTTATGCTGCCTCCTATGTACCCTCCTATTCACCCATAGAAAATTTACTCAAAATTCCCGTTAGTTTACTTTATCAATACCATCTTTATGCCTCGGCCTACCCGAATGCCTTGAATTTTGGTACCCTTGGAGTTTTCGTGGGCCATGAGATGTTACATGGCTTTGATGATGCCGGCAGGAAATATGATGCCCAGGGGAATAGTCACAATTGGTGGCAACCCCATTGCACCAGCGAGTTTCAAAAGCGGACCAATTGTTTTATGCAACAATATCATCGCTACACCCTGCAAGATGGCCACCAGCTACCCATGATGAAATTGCAAGCGGAAAACATAGCCGATAATGGTGGAATACGGGCTGCATTCAATGCCTATCGGCAATGGTATGAAAAGGCGAAGACCTCAGATCCTCAAGTGGAGAGTAAAGAAATATTGACGGGCCTTAATTATACCAATGAACAATTATTTTTCATAGGTTACGGTCAGGCATGGTGTTCAGCATATGAACCCACCTATTATTCTACCATAGATGCGGTACATGTCCCTGGGAAATTTCGAGTATTGGGACCTTTATCGAATTTACAGGAATTTTCTAAGGCTTTTAATTGTCCCCTGGGGAGTAATATGAATCCTGCAGATAAATGTGAAATATATTAGACATTTTTTATTTAGTTTTTTTTTAGATTTTCTTTATATAAGGTATTTATTTTAATTTATTTATATATTTATATATATATATTGTGTAAATTATAATAATAATGTATAAAATAAGTTAATTCTGTTTTAATTCCGTTAATATTTAAACAAATAAAATGTATAATATAAATAAAATTTGTAGTTTCACATTTCTAAAATCGATGACCCTTCATAAGGTACCTCGAAATATTCGTCGGCGATCCATAAGATTATATTACAATTAAATTACCCAAATAGGGGAATCTCTATAGAAGAAAGATTTTCGAATTTGTACACACATATTCCTAGAAGTCCTACGATATATCGGATAAAAAATTAGATATCTCGAAAACATTTTGGCATTTGTCCCGATACAACAGAATCGCTTCATTTACGATGTTTTGAAAGCTTTAGTCGAATTTTCAATCTGCTCCAAAGTTCCATGTTTATAATGCCTAACTGTTAATTTTTAGAATTCCTACTTGATTAACTATCTGGAGCTTAAAACAGATTTCCAAGTGCGTCGTTCTTGTGCGCAGTTCTTCCAATTTGAAAAAAACCATGTTCCGAAGTGGTGTCTTCCACTTGTTATTTCCATTGGATTCGTGGCCTTCCCCCTCTTCGTGAACCATAAGTTGATTCGCTTTTATATGCTTTTGAGTTGGGTATCCTCATCCATTCTCACAACATGACCTAACCAACGTAGTCCCTGTAGCTCGATACGTCCGAGTATGTCGATATCCGAGTATATATGGTACAACTCGTTGTTAATTCGACAGCGATATTCACCTTCGACGCAGTTCGTCCCGTAGAATTGTTCTCAAATTGCTTACTCAGACCATAGTAGTATCTGTTGGTCAAAACTATCTTTCTCCGAATTTTAAATATATACCATCATCTCTTATTGGTTCTGGGGTATCTTCTTCACCGATACTACTTTATACCAGAAGCTTTGCAAAATGCTTCTTCTAGATCCTCAACACACTGTCTATATCTGTAACCAGGTTTCCTTCTTCAGGAGGAGGAGGTACCTGCACCAAAGCCTTCGGTTTGGTGTTTTACTCGTAGGTAAAATTTCCGGACTTCATTCTGGCGCCTGTATGTCTCGATTAGCTCGCGCTGTCTTTTTTTTTTTTTTTTTTTTTGTAGAAAATTTGATTCTCATCTTTCAGTTTCCCTCGCATTGCGTATTGAATCTGGTGCTGCTAACTACCATTTTTTTCTGCTGCCGCGAAGTCAATCAACCTCATGCCTTTGTTGGATGTTTCTTCATGGATGCTGAATTTTCCGGTGGGGACAACAATATTTTTCCTTACGATTTTTGCATTACAATCTTAAGGAAAAAATTGAGTGTCATGGCCAGAACAGCGTTCTTGCGCTGTTTTTAGGCACCCGTAAAATATGTCTTTGGTCTGCTCATTGTTGACTTCCGCCAGAGAAAATAAAAAAAGGACTTCGTATTATAGCAATTCGCTCATCTACTGGAGTGAATATGCAGACGAGATATTTCATTCTCTCTTTAGTCATAAATCCGCAGTCAAATTCATGTATAATACCCCAGGTGGCACAGCTGGGAGGTCAGTGTCCACAATTGAGATGAAAGAGGGATCAAATTAGGCCTTGGCTGTGCCATGTTAAAACTAAGCAGAGCCGTTGCTAGGTATTTATCATTTCATAGGGCACCAAGAATTCGTAGATGGTGAATATATATTTTGACATTTTCTTTTCCTGTCACTCCTCTCGTGAACATGGAACTTCCACAGAGCATTGCCATCTTATACGATTATATTTTGCGTTAATTTCGTTAACCATTTCACTGTTCTTCTACAGCCTGTCATAAGTAATGGGGCTGCCATCTATTTGTGCTTAGAAATATCTACTCTTATGGCGCTATCTCCTGACAATCCTAGTTTGTGTTATCCTCATTTATCGATGCTAAGATTGTTTAAGGGGCTCCGAATGTATTTCACCTAGAGGGCGATTTAAGCTTCATACCTTCGAATTTTGAATTTTGTTTAGGTGAAGCAGTGTTGCAATTTTTTTGGTGATGGTACTACCTCCCGAAATTCCTAGTTTGTGTTATGCTCATGTATCACTGCTGAAATTGTTTAGGGGGCTTATGATGTATTTCACCTGGTAGGGATTGTAAGCCTCAACTATTCAAGAATCACCTTGGGATTCGAACTCATTAGCCATCGTTTTATAGTCGGACACACTATTCAGCGCATCTGTGCAGTGGCGGAGGCCCTTACTTAGTAAGTGTAGCTATTTTTTAGTATGTCATATTATTTAATTATTTGACTTTAGTTTGACAGTTGTTAGTAAAAAACTTCTTCGCAAAACTATTCTCGATATAAGTCCATGACTTTACAGTGCCCTCAAGCAAAGATCCCGCCTCATTTTCACAGTGGTTGTGGCCCTTGCTTAGTTATTGTTGCCATTATTCTCTCGATGGCGCAATCTCCTAAAAATGTCTATTTTATGTTATCTCTGTACAAGTATCCAACAAAAACGATTTAAAATATTTTTTTTCTCCTCCATTTCAGGTATTTTCATATTCACAGGTGCATTTTCCGGTCGATGTGGCTGTAATTTGGCATTCCGTGTTCTTGGTGAGTATCCAACATCTCCTCAGAAATGTATAGATCCATGTTTTGACATACCCCTCATAAAAAAGATCCCACGACATGCTAGTAAAGTTCGGCAAACTCATTCCTGAAGCTCTTCGATCTTTCGCTACACAAAATGAACTAGATCATTCATTTAGTTCACATAGTTCCATTTAGTTCAATCTTTTATTGTTACGACACGTCATTAATTTGGTCGATGAATAGAACGATCTGGCTGAACGATTGGATCAAAGGTGAACGTGATCAAAAATGAACTGGACTGAAACAAAAGGAACTAGTTGAACGAAAAAATCAAGCACCTAGTACCGATCGTTCCCTTGACATTTTAGATATTCCAATTGTCCTGTCATACTATACTGAAGAAATGTACGTTTTGAGAAAATTGCGGGAAAACAATATCATTCAATATTTAGTGAGTCGTGTCGTTGATTTTTCATTATTGAAAAAACGTTGATGGAAAAACAGTTCCCTGCTTCATTTAAGTTCAATCTCTCATTGGTAAACGTCTGTTAATACGACCAATGAACGAAACGATTGTAGCAAAAGGGACTAAATGAACAAAAGTAAAAATGAACTGAAAGAACGAAATAAACGGTCATCTAGTAACGATCGTTCCTTTTGCTGAATAGTTCCATTGAACTAGTTCGTTAAGGAAAATTATGTCATTCAATAATTCCGTTGATTTATCATTAATGGAAAAATCGATGGGAAAACAGTTCCATACTATATTATAGTTCAATCGTTGATTGACATACGTCTGTTAATATGGTCATGAGCGGAACGATTGTATCAAAAAGTACTAATGAATGAAATAAGGAGCATCTACTACCCATCGTTCCATTTCCAGAATAGTTCCATTGAACTAGTTCGTTACTCAACTCTACATTTTAGATATTTTCATTGTCCTGACCAACTATTCTGTGATGTTAAAAGTATATTGAGAATAGTACCTCCAATACACATTTTTAAGCAGATTACGTTAAAATTATGTCATTCAATATTTGGGGCGACATTTGACTTTTCATGAATGGGAAAACATCGATGGAAAAATAGTTCCATACTACGTTTTAGTTCAATCGTTGATTGGTCCACGCCTGTTAATACGGTCATGGACGGAACGACTTGATCAAAATTATGCCATTAAATAATTTGTGAGGCGTTTCATTGATTTTTCATTAATGAAAAAAACATCGATGAAAAACAGTTCCATAATTTATTTTAGTTCAATCGTTGAATGTCACACGTCTGTTAATGCGGCCATGAAGAGAACGATGGTATCAAAAGGAACTAAGGAACGAAATGTACCCATAAAGTACCGATCGTTTCATTTCCAGAATAGTTCCGTTGAACTAGTTCGTTACGGAACAACACAACGCTACATTTTAGGTATTTTCATTGTCCTGACCAACTATGCTGTGATGTTAAAAGTAATTTAAAATAAATCACTAAAAAATATTGAGAATAGATAAACGTTTTAAAGCAGATTACGTGAAAATTATGTCATTCAATATTTGGTGAGGCATTTCGTTGATTTTTCATGTATGGGAAAACATCGATGGAAAAACAGTTCCATACTACGTTTTAGTTCAATCGTTGATTGACCCACGTCTGTTAATACGGTCATGGACGGAACGACTTGATCAAAAGGAACTAGATGAACGAGAGTAAAAAGGAACTAAATGAACAAGCACATGACATGAAGTAACGAACGTTCCTTTTGCTGAAAAGTTTCTTTGAACTAATTCGTTACGGAACGATCCAGCTCTACATATTAGGCATTTTCATTGTCCTGTCATACTATACTGTGATGTTAAAAATAATTTTAGATGAATCGCTAAAAATGTTGAGACAAATACCTCTAATATACGGGAGAACGATGTTATTTAATATTTCTTGACGTTTTTCGTTGATTTTTCATTAAGTTGTCGATGTGAAAACACTATACCATAAAATATTATTCTGATTGATCCGGTCAGTAGTTATATGTTTGTCTCAAAGATTATGCCATGAATGTCTAAGTAAACACGAATTAAGAGGGAATCCGCTAAAGGTTCATATTATCTGGTCTGGTTTCTTAGATCGTTAATAGTTATTTGGATATATGTGGTAGGGATATGTAAATCGACTTTTTGTATTTAAAATTCTAAAAGACGAAATTGACTTTTGATCTTTGAGGAAATCGCAAAGTCGACTTTTCAAGATCGATTTTCTTCATTAATACTTGATATATTGCCATAAAGCCCAAATTTTCTAACAATTACATATTCCAATTTATTCATATACAAAATACATCTTTAGACGCTTTTGCATTAGTCGGTAAACGTCGAAAAACTATTTTAAGCTGTTTTAACA